CCTCAAGGTTTAGATTTCTCTCTCTCTCTCTCTCTTTCTCTCTCTCTCTCTCTGAACTGTTCATATTTGCTAATTGTGGTTTATGACACTGATCAAATTTTCTCATTTATAATCGTTCTTACCGGGTTGCAGGTGGTTCCAACTGTATTCACAGATGTCGACGAGCATACCATTCAATCCAATCAAGTAAAACTGTGATTCCACGTAGAATTATTTGATTTGGTTCCATTAAATTTGTTATATAGGAATTTTTCCATGGATAGTACTTGAGATGCATAAAATTTGTCTTCCTGCAGTTCTCTGTTACTGAACATGTTAAAGGGTCAGAATTAGGTCAACTGCAAGCTCTTCCTGGAGTGTTTTTCTTTTATGAGCTTTCGCCAATTAAGGTGCGTGTCCATTCTGCAAGATCAAAATAAATTTTTAAAAACTACCGTCATCAAGTTTGTATTGTGCATTCTTCTTTGGCTTTGATTAACTCATTTGTATTACATGCTCTTGTTCTCTTGATATCCCTTTTGGTTTTCTCGATTCCTTTTGATTCTGCTTCTTATTCGCTCTTTCTTAATGTTCCCAACAATGTGTCATTATTGCTCATAGACTCTGGTACTCTGCCCATCTGGGGGAAATTTGGTTTTAAATGTTGGTGTGATTGTATACTCTGTGTAGAATATTTTTGTTCATGAAAAAGTCAACTTGATTCATTGAAGTTTACTTCAACATTATTTTTGCAGAGGAATAAACTGTGGTTTATCTTGCTTTTACCGCAGTATTTGCTGAACACATCACATGCTACTTGTGAATATTTATGTTTCCATTTGCTGGTTACAGGTGACTTTTACAGAGACTCACGTCTCATTTTTGCATTTCCTGACCAATGTCTGTGCCATTGTCGGAGGTTTCTCTCTCTCTCTCTCTCTCTCTCTCTCTCTCTCAAACACAAAAGCAAACATTTGAAAGAAGGAATGAACTTTAACTAGACTAAGCTTAAAAAAATAAAAGGACTATAACTAGAATTTGTGAACCAATCACAGGTGTGTTTACTGTTTCGGGCATAATTGACTCGTTCATATATCACGGCCACCGAGCAATCAAAAAGAAAATGGAAATCGGCAAATTCAGCTGACTCATTATCAGGCAATCTCATTGCTCCTTCATCTTGCCTAAAATTCGGGATCAGAATAGAGGTAAACCACTCACTGTAAAACACAAGTGCTTCCAGTTTGAGCTCCTGATTCAGTTGTTGTGAAACACCTTTAGCAATCAATAGAGAAGGCGGTGGTGCGTAGACATTTGTTAAAATATTTGCAGTTGCCTGTTTTTAGCAGGTCTTTGTGTGAAACCTATATTTACTTGAAAAAAGAAAAAACTATATTTACTGTACTTTTAACCACAGGCCTTAAACGAAATGCGGGATTGAGCATGCCAAACTTCGACTATAGAGGAACCAGTTTTTTGTTATTGATCTTATGATATTTATCCAGACACAGTAAGGTATTCTTGGTGTGTTTAGCATTTTTCTGTTGGCATTGTTGAAGTTTGTTCGGTTTTGGGTTATCTTTTCGAATGCTTGCTTAGCAAGTCTATGAGGATCTGGAGCTATATGATTTTGCGTAATTTCGACAAAAGCTGTATCTCCAGAAGAATGAAGTAACTCCATTGGATGAATAGCTTGAGTTTTAAATAGCTTATACGAAAAATGCTATTAGAGATTGATATACTAATATAATTTACAAGATTTTGCAGATTGTGTGCATAAGGTCATCTACTTATGCATTAAACTGAAATTTTATTTTATATATCTAAATATTTTATTTAAAATGTATTGAGCCTGTACGAATGCTGGATTAGTTCTGGTCTAATCTCCATTTTATCCTACTTTTGAGTAGGTGAAGTATGAAAAATCCATGGGGTCATCATAAATCATTTTCTAAAGATATATCATCCAATAAAAATAAGAATAATGAAATATTGTCCGATGTTATTGCTAGTTTTTCTTTGTTCTTGATGTCAGGAGTCTTTTAGAATTTTGATACACGATAGTTTTAATTAAATATTGAAAGAAAAACTTCATATATTATAGAATGGACTTATGTATTCTCACATAAAATACTGTGGAACAAATAAAATAATTTTATACTTTATCATTTTTTCTACTTTGCAACATGAAAATTTTTATTTGGCAATTAAGAGTTTCCAACAAAGAATTTTCATTGGGTCATATTCAATGAACTTGTTTCACAAAAAGCATTTGCTTATATGCGATGCATCGACACACTGATGTTTATGGAATGCAGCATGGAATGCAACATTATCGTCTAGCAAATATGCATCATAAATGCAAGTCTTATCGGGTTATTCTATGTTTTGTCATAGAAACACCCATCACTATGTAACTTAATTAAGATCACTACCTTATAGACATTTTTCATAATTGTCATCAAATATGCAACCATGTTTCTTAGTTAATATTGATATAAAGTCTTTATCATATGTGCAATTAATTAATAAATGCAAAAGTATAAGATAAAATAATGCTTTCTATAATATAATCTTTAATAAATTATCTTTACAAGTAAAAAAATACCCAATCAAATCAGAACATTGGACATTCTATCTTAACAATCTTCCGCTTGCCCTAGTTTCAATTGTCCATGTATTTGAGGCTCATCTTTCCTTCTGGTCCTCAAGTTGATCCTTCCTATCACCTTGGGTCGTGATTCTCATCCCACTTCCTGGTTCCAAGTCATGTCCACTCGTGATCACCACCACCTGCTGCTCCGAGGGAGGTCCCTTTTCCTCGGTACACACGAGGACCTCATTTCCCTTTGCCGCACCTAAGTTCATCGGTCTGCTTCTGGCGTTAAAACGTGGTTCAAACCTAGTAAAATCGTTTGCGCGTGACCAAAGCGTCGAACATAGGCCACCCGAACAACGCTCCTGTCCCAAAATGTAATTTGGCCATCCATGTTTCCTCGATGACGTCTTGAGATTCTACTTCCAGCCTTCGTCAACCATTGTCTTTCTCTGCTTGTGCTTCTCAAAACATTGTAGAGAACTGGGCAAAATGTTACCACATTCGGCGCCAATTTGATGAGTATTTCATCTTTGAACCGACAACAGGATGACCTAGAGCCGGTTTTCTTCCTTCAAATGACCTTTGCGGAACTGCAAATACACCGGTGATGTTCCGGCGGTAGACCTCCCATATCAAATTAGTTTCCAAAATATAAAAAATGTAATAATTATGTGTGCATAAAATCCAGAGAGAAAAAGATCAACACTTTTATACAGGAAATCCTCTTATGGGGGAATCACTTTGTTGCCTGATATTTGCCCAATCTTGAATACCCCAATTACCCAAGATCTGCCCAATCTTGTTGCCTAAGTACCATTGCTGCCCAGATTTGCCATATCTTGTTGTCCAAGTATCCTTGTTGCCAATGATCTATGTCATCTTGTCGTCAGGTCGCTCCAGGGTTTTCCTAAAGGACTTTCAAAGTATTCCGTAACCTTAGTTTTCTTATCTGACTTCAAGGTCTTATGCACCTTAGATCGGTAATCCATCTTGACATCCATCCAACATATATAAGCATGTGAGCTTTCCCTTCTTAGTTAGTTGGTCTTAGCTATAAGGTCCCCAAGTTGAGATAAGATACTCCAAGAGGTCCTCAATACTCTTACGAGCTGTCTAGAGATCACTTTGTCCTCACTGAGCTATAAAATTTTGTAACCCTCGTATCCGAGTTGTTAGATCTATCAACAGTCAACCTCGAGTTACAATCTTCAATCCTCCTACCCGAGCTAATTCCCTAAGTCCGATACCGAGCCTATTGGTTGACACCGGTCTACCGAGCTATTTTGGTTGCTATATTAATATCAATTTTGGATAAAACTACAAGTGGCCTCTTTTCAATAAAGCAATTAAATTATACGTGGCTATAGATTTCAAATTACCACAAATTGCAAAAAATTGAGATTACAAGAAATTAAATAGTAGAAGATCTTATATGCACTAATTTGGTCCCTTTGGAATTAATACATTTCTCCACACGTTTTTTTTTATCTTTAGGCAGAGCATATTTATCAGCTTTCGCGATTCCCAACAAGAAGCGCCTCTCGCCTCTATATATCCGCTCCGCTACGCTCCCATAAATCACAATGCTATTAATATATAATAATATATTCAAAATAATAATTATTAAAAATAATAATTATTATTATTAATAATACTAGTATTGAATTATTAATTTCTCTCCTCCAAAAATTAAAAAAAGAAAAAAAAAAAAAA